TGAGGTATTTTGCGGTGTCAACATTATCATGTCTGAATGGCTACTGATTACTCTCATGTTGCAGATTAAATTGACTATAAAGATAATCACCTTTTGCGAATAAACACATTCAAATTTTATTTCCCAAAATAAAGCCAAAAAATTAAAAAAAAAGTATCACCAGGTTTTTTATAAAACCCACCTACCTTGATGTCAAACAACCAAACCAAATACACCTCGCTATAATTCAATTACTAGAGTACAGCATTTGTAAGATGTAGAAATCTTTTCAACAAATATGAGAAGTACTTTGCCATGCCCTTACGACATGTCGTCCACTTGACTTATTAGGACAGGCTGTTCAGAGAATTTTAACTTTAGAAATTCTTTCAGATCAACATTTTGTACTTTTCACAGATATTTATTTTTCAGAATAGAAATCATTTCTCACTTTCAAGCCCGTTTGGTTGCCTCAATTACATTCACCTTTTCTATCATCCGATTTAAGTAGATTTAAGTACGAGGTTTAACAGCTTCCATTCTAGTTTAATTTCAGCGTTTTACTGAAGAAAGTTATGACCTGTCATTTAACATTAACATTTAAAGTCAAGACTTTGTAATCAAAAGCATGACAAGCTGAACATTTTTTTTTTTTGAAATTTTCATGAGGAATATTTCATTAAAGATACCCAACATTGGAAGTAAAATTGTATAGATTATTTGAAAAGAAAAAGAAAAGAAAAAATATATGGATAAATTTTTATCATATAAAGATAAGAACTGCAAAATTATTTGTAATTGTTTAAATATTTAAAAAAAAACACCAGCCAAATAAAGTTAACAAGGCTTTGACAAGCATGCCCTGACCATATCTTCCTACAGGAGATAATCGTATAATTACAGGTCTCAGCCCTTCTACAGCAGAAAATGTGAGACACTTAAAATGAAAAGCAGGGTATACATATAGACATATCTTCGTAGGACCCAGTATCTCAACAGTCCAGAAGGTATTACCACGGATTCTGTAGATTTATTGGAAAATTAAACCAAAGCCATCGATTGCTGCCCCTCCCATCCCATTGATCCAATCTACGAAAAGGCAGACCCTATCTATGTTGTCTAAATGAAATTTTAGTTGAAGGGTATAATCTCAAATGACAGTAGCATTCCATTGGTGGCGAATTTTTATAGATCAATAAAGGCAGGTTTCTAAACCGTCATGTGAAACTATAGATAGGTGCTCCATGTGGACAGGTGATTTGTATAGACACAGGTGAATGGAACAGACAGTAGAGAGATAGGTTTTTGTACAGACAGTCTGTATATGGTAACAACTGATCAGAAAATACAGTCAATAATAACAGACAGTATATATGTATAGACATAAAGTCAAAATGGACAAATGACCAGTATATACAGATAGTCATTATAGACAGATGATCAGTAAGGACAGGTAAAATATACAGACAGATGGTCAGTATAGGCAGGTAACTAAATTTCACACCTGACCATAGTCCCATCACTGATCATTAATAAGATTTTTTACACCTGACCACAGTCCCATCACTGACCTACATTTAGGTTTTCACACCTGACAACAGTCCAATCACTGACCTACTTTTAGGTTTTCACACCTGACCACAGTCCCTCCCATCACTGACCTACATTCAGATTTTCACACCTGACCACAGTCCCATCACTGACCTACATTAAGATTGTCACACCTGACCACAGTCCCATCACTGACCTACATTTAGGTTTTCACACCTGACCACAGTCCAATCACTGACCTACATTTAAGTTTTCACACCTGACCACAGTCCCATCACTGACCTACATTTAGGTTTTCACACCTGACCACAGTCCAATCACTGACCTACATTTAGATTTTCACACCTGACCACAGTCCCATCACTACCCTACATTTAAAATTACCTACCTAATCAGGTCCTCTTTGTTCTTCTATGTAGAAAGAACGTTCCTATCTAAAAGCTGTATCATACAATATACCATGTATTATCACTTAAATAAAACACCTGTTACCTCTTGATAAAAAGACCCAAAATCATAGCATTATGGCTAAATTACTTCTTGAAATTCAATTTTGAAAATAACTAGATCATGAGAAAATTCAATTATGATTTTTAATCTTTAATGCTGGTTAAAAATTGTTACATTAGTGGCAAAATAATGATTACAATATTCACAGGTCTTAGAAATTCCATCCAAAATTTTTCAAGGACACACCTACATTTAATGAATAATTTTATCGCCGCATGTCTGCCCGCAACATAGATATACCTCTGGTATACCAACTTAATGTTATCATTGTAACGTTTTGACTCATTACGGCCCCAAACAGTTACAAGAGAATTCTGTACGCTACTTCTAGGGTGGCATCGTACACATCATCATCCGAGCAGTGCTACACTGCACATAATTAAATATCCCCGCCAATTCCACTCGCCATTTCTTACCAGACCAGAACTGAACATTCAGATTACATCTAGTGATGAAATAAACAAGTAAAAGTATCTTCCGTTAGCTATCAATGGAGGTAATGAAGGGTAGCTGTATCAACAACTTCGCTACGATTCCAAACACTTAATTTATTTTACTGTAATGTTATGTCTCCTAATCACATTTCTACTCAGCATTTCGTTTGGTATTTTTTATAACAATCTTCTTCCCAGTCACTAAATGAGGTAAACACAGTTTCTTGCAGTAAAAATGAAACAAATAAGATTATTTATTCCAAGTTAAACCTGCTAATGTGACCACCTCCATTAACAGACCACCTGCGTTGAGAAACCACCATGTTTCCCATTGTAATGATTTCTTTATGAATTGAACCTCCATTAAGAGATGTCCTGTGTTGAAAAACCACTTTTAATGTTTCCCATTTTAATGATTTCATTATTAACTGAACCTGTATAAAAAGGCCACGTGTGTTGAGAAACCACTTTAAATGTTTCCCATTTTAATGATTTCGTTATTAGCTGAACGTGTATAAAAAGGCCACCTGTGTTAAGAAACCACTTTTAATGTTTCCCATTTTAATGATTTCGTTATTAAATGAACCTGTATAAAAAGGCCACCTGTGTTAAGAGACCACTCTAAATGTTTCCCATTTTAATGATTTTGTTATTAACTGAACCTGTATAACAAGAGGCCCATGGGCCTTAACGGTCACCTGATATATTTATACAGAGAGTTGATTTTTGTTTTTAACAGAAATATTATTCAAAGCGACAAAAAACAATAAAACCACCTTATTCAATAACTAGCATGCAGATTTAAGACTGAAAAGTATTTGAAACTAGCACCTCTGATTCTAAACAAGGAAAATTAAGAAATTTTATTTTAGTACAGACTCCATTGGGCCCCACTCTACAGCTCTTGGGGGTAGGGATGGCTCAAAATTTACAAAGTATCAAACTGTCAACTTAGGGTTATAATTCCAATCAAGTTATCAACATGTAATATTCAAAGTATCATTTGCCATTATAAACCATAACAAATTTTTGCCCCCCCCACCCCCCCCCCTGGGGGCTGGGGACCATATAATTCACAATTTTAGTTGACCTTTGGCCATGGAAGGTTTCTGCAAAATTTCATTGTAATTGGTTCAGGGGTTTCGGAGAAGAAGTCAAAAATGTAGATTGTTTACGGACGCCGCTGGACAAAAGGCGATCGCAATAGATCACTTGAGACTTTGTCTCAGGTGACCTAAAAAAGCCACCTGTGTTAAGAGACCACTTGAAATGTTTACCATTGTAGTGATTTCATTGTGAGTTGAACCTGTATAAAGAGACCACTTTAACCTGTATAAAGAGACCACTTTCTGGACTTTCCAAGGGTGCTTGCTTACTACAGGTTTGACTGTATACACATATGTCCACATACATATGCTAGGTTCTTTTATGTTCACATATATATGCCCCTTAACATTTACATACACATGTCCCATTATGTTCAAATATGCTCTATAACATATATATTTCTTAATGCTCACATATATGTTTATTTATGTTCACAGAATTTTGACATCAACAAAACATTTAACTAACGTGTACATATTTTCAAAAATTTGAAGGTCAAAAAGAAATATGTCAATTTCTGATTGCCTTACTGTCCAATTCTTATTATTGAGGTCAGATATATATATTTCATAAACTTCATACAAAAAAATTCAGACCAATTGCAATATGATATCAATGAAGGAAATAAAGTAAAATTGTTAGTTAAAGACTTTAAAAAATATTAATTTGAAGCTTAAAACAGCATTTCTCAGGCACTTTAGTAGAACCAACATTTCAATCACTAAGATCCTCTTAATATTTCTGCATTACAATGAAAGGAAAGGAAACTTTCCACTGGCCATATGGTTACATCTGCATACTAATCTGATGTTGTAACAGTTACCTCCCCTCCTCTGTGCTAAACTAGCTCGCATCACAGTTCACTCAAAGCACTTGACATTTATAAAGATACTATTTCACAGTTTTCAAAATAATTCAGGTCTCTTTCAAAATTATTTCCCTTATGAACCCTTTAGATGAGTCTGGAGTGGCACAGATGAAACATAAACCAGTAATTCATATTTTCTTTAAAGTATGAAAAGTTTGCTATCATTTATTTCTCAAACTGTTAACTTTTTGTTCAAAATTTAACAATAATTCATGTTATTATTATATTGTTTTCTTTTGTGAAAATTCATTTACTTTTTTCTTGATTTTAGAAAGTTTCAATAGTGATTACAGCAAGCATGCAACAAATCTTCAGACTTTTCCACTTCAAAATATTCAAGCTTGCATCTAGTATGATGAAATGAAAATATAGCAGAAGTTTTTATTTCATTTTTTTAAGAAAAGCAATGGATATTAGGCATATGTTGTAGCAGCAAATTTTAACTTTACAAAATTTTCAGAAATATTCAATATTATTGATTAGGTGATTTCAGCAAAAAAAGTCAGTCCATGATTGAGAATTTGATTTTAATTTTGCTTCACATTACATACCATGCCAATAAAATTATATGCTCCAAGGAATTTCTGAAAAATAGACATTTAAAGTTTGGGGGGATATATTGCTGTTTTCTCCCTTCATTCCTTCAAATTCTGCCTTTCTATTTCCCCTTTATTCCTTTAAATTCAGATGTACATCAATTCATTAGAAAGAAAAAGCTGCCTATCATTTCTGAAACCAAATTTAGTAGCTGTAGGATTTAGGAATCATTTTTATTTCCGAATATATAATACATGTTGTAGAACCTCAATATCCTGTTTCTGAAAATCTACAATAAAAAAAATTCTTGGCACTTATTTCAGATTTTTTTTTTTATGCTTTTGTTATCTATAACAATTTTTTCCGAGACAAAAATATCTGCACTATTAAGGTTCCGTTCCCGCCATATATTTTTTGGGGTACAAGATCTTGCTTGGATCATACGATAAGCTCACCTGAAGCTTGGCTAGAGGGATGATATCACAGTTCTGAGGTCGGTGCCAGACAGTTTTCTGGCTGGTGGCATTGTAGTAGTAAAACCTTGATGTGTTCGGATCAAACAGTTCCCACCACTGGTTGTCATCCGTTTTCTTGCTGTTAAACACAAAACATACAAAAGTTAATCATTGATGAACAAAAAGTCCTAATACACAAATCAATGATCAAACATGATGACTAGGGCTGCAACGATACATCGCGATAATTTGAATACGGTATAATACACATTTTTTTTGGGAGAGGTTACGATACACCTACAATATTTTCCGGATTTTGTCGTTTCTTAATTTAGTCTTTGCACATCAGTTCCAAAATGGTGAGTGACAGCTCCGATCCAGCTCAGCATGCATGTCGAAAAACGTGAATTGTGTGAAACTTTAAAGTCATGTCCATTTTGGACCAAGTCTATTTCCTGTTGTAACAAACATTGCAACATATCTTTTCTCTTTGCTTCTACTGCTACTATATACGTATCGTATCGTCAGGGTAATGTATCGTTGCAGCCCTAATGATGACGAAAACCTAGCATCTTGAAATCTAATCAATCACTAAAGCAAACAGCAAGCTTCAACCTATCTTCTTTGAAAACTGTTCAGGACTTTCTCTGACAATTTGTTTGTTTTGTCAGACAGTTGTCTCTCAGAAAAACAGAGTAATCTCCCTTGGTAAACAATTTCATTAAATATCCTTTTTTCTTTTGGTTCAATGTTTTTCCGGTATAACAGCGAGACAGGATTTGTGTCAACCTTGTTAGTTTATCCTAGACAGCTGTCCATCAAACAGAACATTTCTGTAATGCAACAGCACACAAACCAGGTTCACTTCAGTCATTATTCCTTTTTTCTGTCATTTTTTTCCCCCACGAAATTGCGTAACAAGTATTGTTATAATCAATCTTGTTTATTTGAAATTCTCGGACAACAAAACTTGACAAATATTTTCTGATTAGTCAGCAAACCAAGAAAATTGAGTCTTTCTTAATATTTTTCCAATTAATCATCATTTCAGTCAATAGTGCTTTACGTGTTTGTAACCATTCTGTCAGAAATTGCCATGCTTTCCTCTGGGGTTGGGGGTCGGTGTGGGAGAGGAAAATGCAGAGTTTGAATTTTTTCTCTATTTTCTTCATCAATCTTTTCCTACAATTGGAAACAGGGCCATCGCTCTTGTTAAAAAATCAAATTACTTCCAGAATTACTGGGTGTTGGGAGTTAATAAACGTTTACCTCCCCTTTAAAACCATTCTTCAAAATGAAGGTAACAACTTACAGAAGAGTCCATTTATGAACTTCAGGGGTGAGAGGTAGGATCTGCATGTTATATTCATAGAAACGGTAACTAAGAGACACACAGAGAATTAAAGGAGATTTACCCCGAAACAATACTTAAGTTCCAGCAAGGTAAAAATAACTCCGCAAAATTGAATGCATCTGTATAATTTGCCACAGATGTTCATTTTGACTCGTATGTCAATTGATTACCGATGTACTTCGTTTGTTCATTTTAATAGCTCTGCCAGAACATCGTCTAATTACTTCAAATTATTTTTTTAAATTACATCTAAATACAAGACAAGGGTAACTTAGTACATATTCACTTATAAAAATCTTATCAATTGTCCCTGTAAAAACACTGTTTCTCCACAAATCGGGGATCTGACAGATAACAAAATCAACTCAACGTGCCCAACAAACAGAACCAGATGGAAACCATGTTTTATCTGAATTACACCGTTTCAAAATGTTTTACTCATGAAACTGTCTAATTAGTGGAAAAGATTTTTTTGTGTCTTTCTTACCAGACATTAACCTGCGGAAATAAATCTGGTGAATCAGCCTGAATGATAAACCGGTGTAACATATAAACACACTCTACCTATAACATGTGCTTGTGTCTGATTAAGAAACATTTCAATTATCAGATGCAGAAAATGTAAAAACCTATATCTATTACAGCAGAAGTCTTGAGAACCAAACTTGCCTTAGAAGGTCATTTGTTTTACAGGAATATGATATGTAACTATGGGTTGAAAACACTTTCCTAGAGAACCTCTGAAAAGGTGGAAGGCTTAGAGCCAATGCCCCGGCTTTTTCTTTTTCAATTACTTCCTTCCCACACAAGGATCTATTGTTTCACACCAGTATACTTTGACAGTACACTTTACACCAGTAACACATTCATGACAGTACTATATGAATTAGTGTACACAGCTGTACATGTTCATGTAACCAAAATAGCCAGCTACAGGATATTTTGAGGTGGGCTTTTAAGCTTTCCTTTTGACTTGACAATGCCTCTAGGTTTTTTTCTGATGAAATTGCGATGCAATTGGGCAAACACAAAACTCATCTAATAATTGTAATTAAAACATGGCACCTGCAACGAGGTTTCCTTGGTTCTCCGGGAATATCAATAATGATTATTTTTTGGCAATGAGAAAATGAAGAATATTTTTGGCAGACTGACAAAATATGTTGAATGTTCCATCTGAAATAACAATGACATTTTGAAAACGCCCGCAGGCCCTAGAATACAATATCTTGCACTTTCGGAGCTTGGTGTATTGTACAGATGAGTCAGCTGGCCTACTCAATAGTTGTGATATATCTGGATAAAAAGTCGCCATAAACGAAGTTACTGTACCGAGTTAAGACACACCTTTAGTGAAACCATAGGCAAACGCCTAGTGAAGCCCTTTTCCTGCCAATTCTGATGACAACACCACTCCTGCATAAATGTGCCAGTCATACCATTATAAAAACCAACCGCCAAACATCTCCTGCAATTTGGGAGCTATCATAACAAACAAAAGTTTTCTGAGCATCCCGAAAAACAGTTTTCAGTCCGACAGAAATCTGGAGAAGACGTTTAAATGCGATGTTATGTAATGCCGTATGACATCCCACCACAGTGATTATTTAATTGTGCAGCCTCTTTTTATCCATCTTGAGGATGGTGTTGGGCAGATACAGCCGACGATTTCAGGGAACATTGCCAGTGGCGGACTTCATATGATCTGCAGCGGAAAGCAGATACATGCTGCGTATTTACATTGATTTCTGTGCAGGCATGAAGCTGGTGAGATTTATTGATAGAAGTCACTTATACATCATAAAACAACTGGACTCTTTTACATGTCCTGCAGCTTTCATGTCCATTGATATGAAATCTACCGACATTATGCCAGAGGATGTGGCTGCTGATTTTAATACCTATATAACTGTTGATACAGTACCAGGTGACAACTATACCTGGGGCCCAAGGTTTCATAGGATGGTCAGCTTGACACAAAAAAATCAATTGTGAATGTATCTATGAAATTCTTGAAACATTTAACAAAATATGACAAAAATATGTGCATTTAACTAGTCTTGTAAAGACAACAAAAAACATGAATTTAAAGTTTCAAAAATATTTACAAATAAAAAACATAATTAACTCATTCACCTCTGAAGTTTCATAATGAACTGATCCAACCTTTGAATTGGAAGAGTTCACATGTGTCTTCAGGGGTGAATGAGTTAACCTCTTAAGACTTTGTTTAGTCTACTTTGGACAATTGAGCCTCAAAAAATTCAACTCCAATGGTCAAAAAAGAAATCAATAAAACTTTATATACGACAATAATATATTCAAGCAGAATTGTCTTATATAACTCGGAGTAAACATCAGAAAATTTGTCATAGTTTACTATAATTTTGCATCGGTAGATTTTAACATTTGAGAAGCTAATGAGGTATTTGCTGATTTGTGTTCTGCTGAAACCATTAATCACCCTCAAATTACATTCCTAATCAGGAAATGTGTGCTGGGAGGGAGACTCCTATCAGTTTTAACAGAACATCTGTAATAATGTTTTGCACTTCTCAGTTACAAGCTTGTCAGTTACAAAAGCTCCAATCATGGTCAGGCATATGCTTGACGTATGTGTAACTAATGATGTATGGAAAGACATCACATGAATCATAGAACTGGTTCTCAAGGCAGTCACTCAATATCTGTGAAGCCCCCATCTCTCAATTGATCCTCCTCCCTGGTTCTTTTCCTCCATTATCTGTCCCTATTCCATTCTTCCCCTTCCACTATTCCCTTACCCTGAGCTACTTCCTATCTCCCCTTTTTGTACCCATAGTTCCTCCCTCTCTACTCCACTTTACCCTCTCCCCATCCATAGCTCCCTCTTCCCTACCCTATCTACCTGTAGCTCCCCCTTCTCTACCCTCTCCCCCCCCCCTAGCTCCCTCTTCTCTACCCTCTCCCCTCCCTCTTCTCTACCATCTCCCCACCACTAGCTCCCTCTTCTCTACCCTCTCCCCACCCCTAGCTCCCTTTTCTCTACGCTCTCCCCACCCCAAGCTCCCTCTTCTCTACCCTCTCTACCTCTAGCTCCCTTTTTCTCTACCCTCTCTACCCTCTCTACCCGTAGCTCCCTCTCTCTATCCTTTATCTACCCCTAGCTCCTCCTTTCTTCCCTTTCTATACCCCTAGCTTCTCCTCCTTTACTCTCTCTTTACCGCTAGTTCCCCCTCTCTAACCTTTTGTTACCCAAAGTTCCCCCTCTCTACCCCTATCAAATATTAACTTTATTTATTTTACGACAATTATGAAAACAGTTATTTAAACTTATATTAATCACTCTTGTTGGCCAGGATGTTAGCGTGTGCGGGGGTCTTAATGTTGGAGTACCCAAAGAAAACCCACATGGTCGGGCAGGTGACCCCATACCTTTTCACAACCGATCAGGGAATCGACCCCTGCCTGCCATAGTGAAAGGCAAGTACATTGTCCACTGCACCACCAGACTACCTCTACCTCTAGCTCTTTCTCTCTATCCTATCTCTACTCCTTGCTTTCCCCCCCTCCTCCCCCTCTCTATCCCTTCCCCTTTACCCTATCTCTAACCCTAGCTCCTTCTCTTCTACCCTCTTTCTACCCCAAGCTTCCCCTCCTCTACCTTCTTTCTATCCCCCCAAGCTTCCCCTCCTCTACCTTCTTTCTACCCCAAGCTTCCCCTCCTCTACCCTCTTTCTACCCCAAGCTTCCCCTCCTCAACCCTCTTTCTACCAAGCTTCCCCTCCTCTACCCTCTTTCTACCC